ATATTCCAAAAGTGCTGTTCAATAACGTCGAGCAATTTCTGTGGCTGAGATGCAAACTCATGAGCGAATTTTTCGGATAAGGTACGACATCGCTCAGAATGGGGTATCCTTCTTTATTTATATCATCAGTGATAGAGCGTGACCTTTCCCTCACGCGACTCTGGAGGAGGAACCCCAAGGAAGAGTTTTCTGGACTGGGCTACAGCTCACGATCTACGGTGCGCAGCACGTAAGAGGCTTAGAAGGTAACCTACAACGATGGAGGGCAACAACTGGAAACCAACCATGTGTTTGACATCAAGGTATTCTCTCGCGAAGAATTGCCTCAGCAGCACAGACCCCTCCTCGCAGGAATTGCCAAAGAACTCCTTGAGAAAACAGTGGTGATTGGAGCAAAGGATTCGGTGAAGGATTAAGTTGAACCTAGCCGAGCAGCAAGACTTCAGAAGAGGGGTGTTGGAAACGGGTCCCCAGATCCACAATGAGCGATACAGCAGACATGGAGCAACGCCGCTAAGGTCATCCAACTATGGGCGAGACGCGATGTGGACTCATGGAAGACAAGGCATAGTAGTTCTGGTAAGAGCAACTCCAGCGATTTGGCAAGCGGAAAAGGAAAATATACAAGCACTGACACAAGATGCGGAAGATTTGCTGTCTAAAAATTCGCAAGAGACTCGCTGGAGCAGCCGCCGCCGAAGCGAAATTACGAAAATAGGGCCTCGTAGGACAAAGCTATAAGGCTCAAATTCAGGGTATTTCGTATCACGTTTGCTAAGGGCTGGCATCGAGCGACTCAAGGCATCATCGTGGTGAAGAGTGAGGAGCAGCAAGGGCACTATCCTGAGAAACCCATTCTGTATCAAAAGGATATGGGAACAATACTTCACTAGGTGCTGAACGAGAATTCCCACAAGTACAGTCAACAAGCAGAGGCTACAGCTGGTCCCATCGCAATAATGATAAAGGATGATATTCGACGTGCAGTGGGCAAGATGAAGATTGGACAGGCGATCAATCCAGTCCATTCAATCGAGCACTAATAGGGTCATAGAAGGCGCTTGGAGAGCATAGGATAATATAAACGCCGGACAGGTGGTGGTGAATTATTGGTAAAAGCACCGTCCATGCCACCTAGCTTTCATCAATCTTAATAAGGCGTTCGAACGTCGACCGCACCAGTGCTCTAGAAGCAGGATCAATAACACAAAGGACAACGATGGGGTTGAGTTTGGCCAAGGGAAAAGAGGGGTCGTAACCTCAAGTACCATTCACAAAATTGGAAGGTGCCAAGGCATGGCTAAGTGGCAAAGGAGGACAGACTTTCAACTACCACTGCGACTACGCACCACAAACGATGAGTGGAGCATATCAGAGGGAGATTCCCTCGTTCCTATTTCCTACGAATACGTCAATCACTTAGCAGAAACGAAAAATTCTTTAAGAGAAAGTCCCATGCTTTCAGAGCAAGCTCAAGTGGAGGAAAGGGAAGTAGGATATTAACCCTTAGAGGCCTAGAGAAAACTCTGGCAGGAGAAAGGTTTTCCTATTGAAATAATCTAGCATATGTCATGAAGTACTTATCTAGTTGATTTCATTTACTTCTACCGCTACTCAATATATCGATTTTGAACAGATATTATGGGCATTTGAATGATGAAAACTCACACTCTCGGAGAAGGGCCTAGAAAGCAATAGAGGGAAACAACGGAACAACTACGCAGAACCCCTTTCGGCCATTCCGGATAATACTACTGGTTACGATCTACGAAAGACCACGTTCACATTGACAGTTGACACTGTTCTACGCTAAAAATATTCTGTCATTGAGTTGACAGAACGGCTAATTGAATGATCGATGCTTGTAAGAAAGAAACGGAATGCGCTCTTGGATTTTCAGATGGTAGTGTGCAATTTGAAGATAGGAAAGTGTGATTAATGCCGTTTCAAGCAAAGGTGGAGAGGGAGGTCTGCGGACGTAAGGCCGCAGTCCATCTCAGCATCCTCGTCTCGGCAGAGTGAAGCTACCATTCGCGTCTTGGTCATAGGCCAGCACTCGCTGATGTATAGCATCATCATCTTTAGCCGCTTTACCACTATCGGTCCACCTTTCCTTCGAGTACTATCGAACACTTACGCTCGCAGAGAATTTCAGTTGATACTTCACTTCGTCCATGACACCTTCATCCCTTCTTAATGCCTGATTTACATTATCGTCGCTAGAGCGCCTCCAAAGTATCGGAAGTCGTCCTTCCGATTCCTTCCCATGGCCATCGTTAATCAACACTGTACCGCCTCAGCAGCTCAAAAATTTGATCTTCTCCACGTTCAGCCGGAGTCTGCACCTTTTACTGTCTGCTATCAGAGCTATACCCCCCACCATGAAATCCAGTGTCAGAAGGAAGAAAGTCATCCAGGAATTATGGCTGCTTCGGCTCCTTCGTACATATCCCTCATCAGGGAGAGTAGGAGTTGTTGTGTTTCCCTCTCTACGCGCCTTCCAGGCAGGGTTAATTGTGTCTTGCACAGAATTCAAAGTTCTTGCGACCGATAAGTTCTTGCGATATCAGTACGACCCCTCCCATGTATAGCCATTGTGTCTTTTTACGTATTTTATGCCCATCATCGATGCATGGGCCGTCACCGACATGGAGAAGTGGTGGACAGCGTATGTCGCGCTTTGTCTCGCTCAGAGGAGGGAATCGAGGCAACATGAAATTTTACTCATAAATAGAAGTAATTTTCAAACTTTTGCGTGAACCTGGGCATGATAGTAGTCGCAGTCGCATTTCTATTCACAGAAACCTACCGAGTGACCCCCAAACCTCCTTTTCATAAACTGAGCAACTGCACCTTGCAGCAATTACGTTAGATACTTCTTCATTTGAAAGGTTATAGCCTCCTTGAGATGCAGTTTCATATGGTACGAAAATTTGAAAACTACGAATTGCTTTTTTTCTAGAAAGTTTTTCAACTGTACACGTTCAGCTTTTTCAGAAAACCGTCGTTCCGGCTTTTGTGCACACGCCAGTTTTCATCATTCAAACGTTGACAACGTACTTCATTATTTACTTTTTGCAGATCTCGTTTTGCTTT